AGCTGAGAGCTTATTTGTGGTCCACAAATGAGGGGCAGAAAGAAAGAACAACTGAAAATGATGTGGATTGTTGAAACCTCAAAGCCCACCCCCAGTGACACTCCTCCTCCAACAAGGTCACACCCCCTAATCCTTCCCAAAGAGTTCCATCAACTATGAACTGAGCATTCAAATATATGGGTTCATTCTCATTCAAACCACCAAAGGGAACATTAGGATATTGGTCTACAAAAGTATTTCTTCCTCCTCTCCTGATGCAATCTGGTCATGTGGTTGCTCCAGGACATGGAATAGTAAACAATGCCTATCTGGAGCATACAATGAGCTGATTCTAAATGTTATTTTTTTAGGCAGATCAACCTCCTTCTATGCTTGGCATACATGATTTTATGTACATGTGTTATTTATACACCATTCCAAAAGCACTAGAGGCTGCATGCAATGAAAAGCAGATTCACAATTAAGCATTAAAAATACTCAAAGCCTTGAAGGCTAACTTTGTTGTTTTAATTGAATATTAAATTTAACATCGAGCTTCCTAGGAATCAAGGCAAAAAAAGGGGGAAACATGATAGCACACGTACTCTTTATGGCTTGCTAAGAGAACGTACCCTGTGTTTTAGAAATGATCGTCATTCTCTTGGTTCTGCATTCCTAGAGCATCCTAAGAGATTAGGTAGTCTGTGAAGCCTACTGAGTGAACCATTCTCCTTCCATCTTGGGATGGGATGTGTTGCCATGGAGATATGCAGCTTTCTAGTACAGACATAGTACCTGGGGAACCCAGGATTCTGAGTGCAATTCAGAGGGACATGAGCTTCTTCTGTTCTTCAGACACACCGTGCAGCTCTGGTGCTTTATGCTTCTTTGTTCTAGAATGTTCTCACATGAATCTCCTTTACTAACTTTGTTCAGAGCTCACTCAGATATCCCATGTTACAATCCTTCCCTGATCCCATCCTGAATCAAAGTCCTTGCCTCTCCCCATGCCCCCCGTGTGGTGTCTGTTTCTTCTCTTTCCACAGCACTCTATTCGTTCATGCGGCTGATTTCCTCAAGGCTGCAGTCAGCACGCAGAGCCATCAAAGTACAACTGAGTGCTGTAGCAAACGGAGCCTTGCCCCATCCCGTAGTGTCTCCTTTCTTTTTAAACTATCTTATTTTGTTATTTTGTGTGTATGAGTATTTTGCCTGTACATATGTCTGTACGTGTACGGGTTGCCTGTGGAGGACAGAAGAGGATAGCTGATTCTCTGGAACTCAAGTTACAGATGTTGTGAGCAGCGAGGTGGATGCTGGGAACCAAACCTAGGTTTGCAAGAACAACAGGTGCTCTTAACTGCTGAACCGTCTCTCCAGCCTGTGACTCCCATTAGACCAGAGGTCACTGTGATGGTTCCTCTTCCTTATCAATCTGATTGGCTTTAAAATCACCCAGGAAACACACATCTAGGTCTCCCTGTGAAGGTTTTACCAGAATGATTTAACTGAGGAAGGAAAGCACTCCCTTGAATGAAGATAGTCCGTTCCAGGGGCTAGGAGACTAAGTTTTAAAAAAAGGAAGGATGAAGCGAGCTCGGGTCAGCATTCCTCACATTCTGCCTCCTAATTGCAGGCACTGGGTGACCAGCTGACCCGTGTTTCCACCAGTAACCTTTTCCTGCTTTGATCTACTGTATCCCCTCAAACTGTGAGCCAAAGAAATCCTTCCTTCCTCGAAGTTACTTCCTATCAGGTGTTTGGTCCTTGCAAGGAGAAAAAAAAGGAATGCAGTCAAGAGCACAACAGCAGTCGGTCCCTGAGGTGCAGAGCAAGGAAAAGTGGGTCCAGGTTTCATTTTCAGATGGCAACCCCTGCCAGTGTAGATGAGCTCTCCTCGAGATGGGCATGCGTGACAATGTAGCAAATATCTGAGGAGTGGTATCGGAGAGACTCTGTGACCCTAGTCTTTGCTCTGCCATCGCTAGCTGTGTGGCTTCTGAAGATTTGCAGCCTTCATCTTATTAAAGCTGAAATGGGGATGATGGTGGTGCTCCCTTCACAAGGTCGGGAAGACCCAGGGAGGAAGTGTTCAGATCGGGAACTTTTTTCTCTTTCTTGTCCCATACATCTGAGAGGCGAGAGTTGGCTAAGGAGAGATGCCATTGTTCTTCTCCGAAGACAATTTATTGGCGGACCACGGGGCTATTTATTTTCTTAACTAGAGGTCATGAGACATGAAGACTAAAGAACAAGATTGGTGGCTGGGGAAGGTAGGAGTCCTCCCCCCCCTTCTTCCAAAGTCTCTTCTTAGACTGAAAAGAGAGAAAGAAGAAAAGTCCCCCTCTGTAAATTTTATGACTGCAGTGTCAAAAGTCTTCCATCCAAATCGCAGTAAATATTCTAATGAAGTCTGGAAAGAAAGCCATTTGTAATGGCTCGGGGCGGAGTATTAAGATAGCCTGTTTCTAGTTAGTCAGTCATTAGAGAGATCTAACATGCATGGGGAATGGTTTCCTGTTCTAAGTGCTTTAAAACCCAGTTTTAGGAAACCCCACTTCCTGCCGGCTCATTTGGAGACAGCAATGTGCCAACTGGTCAGAGTTCTCAGATGGCCAAAGGGTCGCCCCCTTGCCTACAACCTGGCTCAGCTGCTTCTGCCAAGGAGAGCTGGGCTTTGTGTATCAGGGTCACCGATAAGGAGAAGGCAACTCCGCCATGGAGGATGTCTGGGTCTGGATACCCTAAGGACTGTCCTATGCATTTAGTTTATGGGGATGGAGTGATTCATATAAAGGGTCAGAAACAGCAGGAGAACCTCCCAGGCTGGCGCTGGCCCATGTGGCTCTGGACTTTGCCAGGCTGGTGGGGATGTGGATGAATGTCCTGGCTGTGGGAGAGGCAGAGCAACTGATGGGAAAGGATGATTTTTCAGTTACCTGATGTGCTGTGCTTTAAAACGGGATTTTCTAAAATAGGGAAGCCTCAGAGACTTCAATCAGAACGCAGATGAAAGCATTTGCTAATCAAATCCGTTTGTTTCCTTTGGTTTGCGGGGGTCAATACTGTGCTCAGAAGCAGGAAACTGATGGATCCAGGAAGACCACACATTTTCTCACCTCCAAATACCACCCTCGGCAGCTGTTTGCATCAAAGAGGGCAATTGGTAACAAACTATCCTTACTATTTCACTGACCTAGCCCAAGACATGCCCACTTAGAGACCCCAGAGTCTTCCCTGAGGAGGCACAGCCAGGCCTTTCTACTTATTTATTTACTTAGTTGAGAAGTATAACGAAGTAATTCTCAGTGTAAAGCAAGGAGGAAGGAGAGGAGTATTGTCCCTCATGGCCGCTGAACTTGGGAGCCAGCTTTGCCGCACTCCACACGTGTGTGTACCTTCTCTTAGGTCAGAATGCCCCCGTGCTGGATTAGGCCGGTGTTTAACAATTGGAACTGCACAGTGGCAGGGCCTTCCAGGGCGCCCTGTGCTTCCTTTCTCCTGCTGTATCTGGGCTGTCACTTTGGAGAGAGGCAGCTAACCTGCTGGACCCCAGAGGACGCTGAGGGGCGCATTTCCCAGAGCAGCTGTTGCCTAGAACCCCAGGCTCCACTGAGAAGTAATACTTCCACAGACAACCTGGGTAAAGTGGGCTAAATAAACTCTTGCATTTTGGTGCAGTTCGTTAGCATATGAAAGCTAGCTGACACACACGCTTCAGATAAAGCGAGACTCAGATCTTAGCAATAATTTTCTCAAACTACAAGACTTAAAATGGGTTGAATCACGTTCCAAAACCAGAGACATTTGATTTTGTTTTTGTTTTTCGAGACAGGGTTTCTCTGGAACTGGAACTTGCTCTGTAGACCAGGCAGGCCTTAAACTCAGAGATCTGCCTGTCTCTGCCTCTGAGCATTGAGATTAAAGGCATGTGCTGCCACCACCATTGGGCGACATTTGATTCTTACTAGTGGGGTCAGTTGTGCTTTCCAGGGACACTCCTATGAATTGGCCATTTTTAGGATGCTTCTCTGGGTTTTGTATTGTTTTTCTTTAAAGGCAGGAACCACTGCTAAGGATTGGAACTGACTTTCCAGCCAGGCAAGAAGAAATGGAGGGATGCATTTATCTCAACCATTGTCTTAGATGGGAACAGAGAACATCTTAGGGTCCCCTCCATGTCTGCTTTGTGTCAGGCCTTGTCCTTGCTTGTCATCCTTCCTTCCACTGGAGTTGATTTCAAGCAGTGGGCACTTTCATTTTAACAAAGAAAGCATAATTTTTAAACATCATCGCCACCAAAAGTGAGCAGTCGTTAATGCTAGCTTTTCAGAAAATAGCCAGGTAGTCGGCATCAACCATTTGGTTTGGCTATTGTACCTCCAATCATCATCAATAGTTGGCAGCAGGTGGGCCCTGGGGGACAGTGACAGAAGGATGGCACTACAGCTCTGAGAGCCTGGCCTGGAGAGCAGGGACCTCTGCCCTGGGCTCATTTGTGGGAACTTGTAAGTCTCCCTTGCTCTGGACCTTAATTCTTTCATCCATCGTAGAAGAGGGGCTGTCAATCCTTGCCCGTGTTTCCCCCCCGGCTCTGCCGCTGTCACTAAGCACAAGGCCTCAGCACATTCAGGCAGAGCTGCAGAGTGAACGTGTGTCAACTTTCCGATCATCAGTTGGGAGCCTGTTATTTTCGTGATGTGCTCTGAGCAACCCAGGATTTCATGTCACTGGCGTGGCATGGATATAATTTAGGAAAAGATGAGATTCCTCCAAAGTACAATAACAGTCCTCATTATTTATCTTTTCATCTTATTTAAATAAAGATTGTGCATTTAAAGCCGTATTTGATTGAGCAACTGTCCCTTTTTAAAAATTTTCCCTGACAAAAGCTATGAATTATTAATTTCTGTCATTGTATTCACAGAACAAATGTAATTGTAAGTAAATGTCTGAAGTTAATGAAAAAAATTAAGAAAAGAAGATTTCTTTATAAGAATTAATGAAACATTTCCACAAACCTCTTTGAAATCGTGACTCTGAAGCCCTGAAGAGTTCTTGGGGGCTCCCTGCCTGCATCAAAGGGGTCGGATCTCTGCTCTCCCATTGGCATGAAGGACTGGAAGCATTTGATTGGGTCACACCAGCTTGGAGAGGAACAGAAAGGACTCAGACCTCAACTCTCCCCAGAGCGCCAGTCCCGCTCGCTCGGGATCTCTCGCTCGGGATCTCACGGGCTCATCTTGAACCAGCCTTTGTTTGTGGGAGACCAGAGAATTTCCCATCCCATTGTTCTCGTTGCTGTCGCAACCACGCACACGTTTTCTCTGACCAACGCAATAAAGAAGTTGAGCGTTGACCTCTGAAGAAGAAAAGGTAGAGACAACAACGCCCAGGGATTCGAACCCCACACGAGACTGACATTTCCCTTCAGAGTCATATGAAGACATATGACTTCAAGTCCTACCCCTCAGGAGTCCCGTGAGTCAGACTTTACCAACACCTATGGAGAACCCCAAATAGTCTTCCAACTGGCACGCCATGCCAGCTCTCTCCAGGTACCCGGTCCTGCCCCATTCCACTCTTTCTGTTCCCATAGCTGCAGTGCAGTAGTAAAAATTGAAAATCCAACCTTGGGAGGTCGAGGTTCTGATTTAAATGCTGTCATTTAGTGCTGTGACCCAGGCCATGGCTACGTCCCCCTTCCATAGGGAAACCCGTGTAAAAGTGAACATTTGCCTCTTCATGGGGCTAGTGTGAAGACTGAGTGAAATGGGGCCAGTTGTCAGTGACAGGATACAATTTGCAAAAGAAACTATTTAGTTTTTATTTCAACTCCCCCCTCCCCCCCCGGGGGACATCCTGTCAGCTGTTTGGCCAGGCGGTTCTGGGATTCTGGCATCATAATGGAGGTTTGAAGCCAACGCTCTTCCCTGGGATAAGAGATACGTGATGTATCCCAGTGTCCTTTGTAGGTAAATGGAGCCATGTAACTGAGTCTTGTTAATGGCCCATTTATGTCCCATACGGGGATTCCTGGTTTTCTGTCTCCTGCACTTCCCAGGCAGATGCAAAATGTGCATGCATTACTTTCAACATGGCTGCTACAAAACACTTGATAGAACCAACCAAGGGTGGAAAGGTTTATTCTGGGTCCCCATTTGAGAGGGTTTCAGCCTGTTATGGTAGGGGACGGTGCAGTGGAGTGGCTTCTCTTGAGGAAATCTATGGCAGGAAGCAGAGAGAGACCTAGACGGAACCCAAGGGTGGATACAGCCTTCAAAGGCCGACCTAGTTCCTGACCTGCCGTTCAGGCCTCACCTCTCACAGCTGTCACAGCTCCCAAAAGTCACTACTTACCAGGAAAAGTAGTCATGACAGGAACTTTATGGGGCATCGTTGGGCTGAAACCACAATGGAACATTACAAGTCTCTGAAGATGGTAAAACACCGGGCATTTGAACCACAAGACAGAGGTTCACCCTCTGAGCATCCAACAGAAATTCAAGAACAAACACGCCTTTGCTGTGTTTGACCAGTGAGATGTGCTCTATCAATGAGCTAGCGTGATGCATTCTCCTACAAGAATCAACAGCTCAGATCTTTAGCAATGGGAGACAAAGCTAAGAGGCCCAGTTTCTTGGTATTATTAGAAAATCATTGCGGGTGGGGTAGGGGTTGCTAAATTGTCCCTGACTTAAAGGATGTGAGGAAAAGTTTACATTTGGAAAATTCTGGTTTTGAGGGTAATTGTGGTAACCAGCTGGATGGAACAGAAATTCCTTGACTAGAAGCTACCAGAATGTTGTGAATTTAGTCAACCAGCAAATTACCTACAAGAGGGGCTGGGGTATGAAGCTAGGCCGATGCACACTTTAGGAGTTTCAATTTTGAAAAGTGAAGGATTTTTCTCTTTTGCTAGAAAAGATCAATTGTCAGAGAGTGGCATGGTTTTGTTTTTTGTTTTTGCTTTGCTTTGCTTTGATTGTGTGTGTGTGTGAGAGAGAGAGAGAGAGAGAGAGAGTGAGAGAGAGAGAGAGAGAGAGAGAGAGTCAGGATCATATTTGAGACCACCCCTTCTCTATCTCTCCTCCCTTCTCTCTCTCTCATGCTCCCACCTTCCGGGTCTGCAGGCCTTTGAACGTAAAAAAGAGATTAAGGGGAAAGGCACATCCTATGATTTACTCCGATGTGCGCACTTCAATCTACGCACAAGAGAGGCCCCAAATCATCCCCAGACCAACACACCGTCCTCAGCAAAGGGACCCTCTTAACTCCATCACTGCAGTCTCCATTAATCCGCCTGATATATAGACGGCAGGTTTTCCTGGCAGTTGAAACACGAAGCGCGGCATCAGCTGGGGATTACGTTTCAAGCCATAAAGACCATGTTTACATGCTGGTTCTGTTTAAGAATTTTCCCCTATCATTTTACTCAAATGGCCTCCCATTTTACGAGAAATAAAGTTAGAACTAATAAAGGCAGCCCCTTCTGAGTGAGCTCGGCAAGGCATCCAGGCTGCGGCCATCTTCGCTGTAACAAAACACCGAAATTATTTAGGGACAACTGTGAACGGCTCCTGTTCCCTGTTGACAAAAATAGCGCCACGACCTAGTGTGGAAACGAAATGTAAACACGGGCAAAAGAATCTGGGGATTAATGAAAGACACGTTAAAAAGTAGAGGAGGAAGCCGAACGCAGGAGAAGCCAGCGGAAAGCCCGTGAACTTGCCTCTCGGCCCCTGGACTGTTGCTGGGCACTCGTGGGTACTTGAAGGACCTTAGATGTGCAGACGAAAGAGGCTGCACTCTTCTCTTCTGTTTTGTCTGTTGTCCAACAGGAAGCATTGGGCCACTGAGGAGTCTCCTGTTCTAAACAATATAGCCGATCGGCGATGGGAGTCCTCTTGCTTAAGGGTTCTGAGGAATGGGCAGAGCCATGATAGGAACTTATGATTAGAGTGTTGGTAACCTGCTATTCATGGTCAATGAATTCTTTTCTAACATTTCCCTCTAAAACAAAATCCCAAACCTCTGTCCCCTAAAATCCTCAAACTATGAGTTTTCGAAGCACTCTGGGTTCTCTGTGTTTCGTCTGCAGCGGCTGCTCAGGACCAGAAGGGTTTTCTAGATTCTGCGGAAGTCGTGCAACATGCGCATGGCATGTCTATGAGGCTGCTGCCAAAACTACTCCACTATAGATGTTTGGGAATCTTTTTCTACCCCCATCCCCCCATACTGGTTAATCATACAATGCCATGGCATACCTGACGGAGCAGCTGGAGTGAGTAAAGATTGATTTGGCTGTGTTCCATTAGTTATGGCGGGAGAGGCATGCTGGAATTCCTCATAGGCAGAACCTGTGGCAGAGGCTGTTCACATCAAGATAGACCAGGAAGCAGAGGGTGGCGGGAGCCAAGGACCAGGTTATATCCACCAAGGGCCCAATCCTATTGGCCTGCTTCCTCCGGACACCCTACTTTACCCCACCCCACCAGGTCCCCCAGCTTTCCAGAATGGCTCTTCCAGCCTCAGAACAGGTCTGTGAACACAGGCTTATGGTGGACAGTCCGAACTCAAACCACAAGGGCTCCTCAATTGCTTTCCATGAAGATCATCCTTGCCGGGTTTTAAGGCAATTATAACTGGTGTCCTAGTTTAGCAGAACAGACTGTTGTTGGTCTGGTACCTTTTGCCCTATAAAGTGTACACTTTATACTATACTATACAGGACTTAAGTGCAGGGTCTGTTCTGTAGAAATGATCCTATAAGGCACCGATTCTCAATATGTGGGTCCTGAGCCCCTTGGGGTCAAATGGTCCTTTCACAGGGTCACATATCAAATATCCTGCATATGAGATATTTATATGATGATTCATAACAATAGCAAAATTACAGTTATGAAGTAGCAAGGAAAATATTTTGCAGTTGGGGGTCACTACAACATAAGGGCCACAGAGAGCATTAGGAAGGTTGAGAACCACTGTCATAAGGAATGTTAAAAGCCATTTTTTTTCTTTTGTTTCTTTCGAGACAGGGTTTCTCTGTAGCTTTGGAACCTGTCCTAGAATTAGCTCTTGTAGACCAGGCTGACCTTGAACTCACAGAGTTCAACTTAAACTCACCTGCCTCTGTCTCCTGAGTGCTGGGATTATAGGTGTGCGCCACCACTGCCCAACAAAAGACATTCTTGATGTCCTGTGATGAATCTAATGGCTTTTCTGCTGACCTGGAAGTGATTGTGCTAACCCTCAGGACTGACTAGGTAGAGGGGCCAAGTCCGAGGAAGGCAGTGGAGAATCGGAGAGCAGTTTCTCTCAACCCGGGGATGTCTGTTGTCTAAGTCACTGGCTGGCATGCTTCCAGGGCTGACATTCTCTCCCCATCAGAGGACACAGTGTCGAATGTTCCTTTCTCGAAGGCGCTGTCTCATCAGAGTTCTGTAGTTCTAGATGGAAGATGAAAAGATTCTGGCCCAGAGGCCAAACTTGGTTTGCCACTTAGGCTCACTAAGACCCTCGAGCTGCCACGTTTACTGGCTTGAACAACAACAAAAAATCACAAAAAAATAGTTTTTTTCTCTGTAAGAATCACATACAATTTAAAGTGGATGTCTATAAATAAAGGTTTGCAGAGAAATCTGTCATGCTTGTTCAGCTCATTCATTTACATGTCATTTCCAGTTGCTTCCGTGGTCAAAGGCAGCAGAGAACGTATCTGTAGAAGCCTGAAACCTTTAAACTCTGAGTACCTCACAGAAAATGTTTGGTACCCCACCCAGATTGTTTCATGGAGACCCCACTGGATCTGCCGTTTCCAAATCTTGACTATTAATTTAAAAATGCCATTTCTATTTTAAGTCATGTTTATATATGTATTTCTATGTGTATGTGTGTTTGTGTGTGTGTGAGTGTGTGTGATGTGTGTACTGGTGCACATGAAGGCTCAAAAAGGACACAGGATCCCTAGAGCTGGAGTTGCAGACATCTGTGAGATTTCTGACAGGAGTGCAGGGAACTGAACCGGGATCCTCTGGAAGAGCAGTGGGTGCTCTTAACCACTGGGCCATCTCTCCAGCCCCAGTGCCATATTTTGAAGCAAACCTCTCTAGACTGGCACTTGTATTTGTGTGTTATAAATTAATACAAAATTTGTTTTTTGGAACTGTTTCTAAGTCTCCAGTGGCAACAAATACACACCGTGGTTTATCTTGTGTTACTGGAACTGAACACGGCAGACTGGGTAATTGTAGTCTAA